GCACCACCATGTTTATAGCAGAACTGTTCACAATAGCCAGAATTTGAAATCAACCAAGGTGTCCATCATCAGATGAATAGAGAAATGTGACATATATGTACAATGGACTATTATTCAGCTATAAAAAAAGAAAGAAAGTCTACCATTTGCAAACTGGAAGCAACTGGAGTTGTTGAGTGAAGTTAGCTGTACACAGAAAGACAAATACCCACATCTTCTTTATATGTGGGAGCTAAAATTTAAAAAGAAAAAAAACCCAAAAAAGAAAGAAATGCCTATGTGTATCAGTATTGATGCCAATAGTTTTTGTCAAACTTTGTTTTATACCTTTGTCAAATTAATGGTTAAGAATGTTATACTAGGTCCGACACTCTGGTGTAGCAGGTAAAGCCACGGCCTGCAGCATCTGGTCCCAGCTGCTCCACTTCTGATCCAGCTCTCTGCTATGGCCTGGGAAAGCAGAGTAAGAGGGCCCAATTCCTTGGGTCCCTGCACCCACATGGGAGACGGCGGGGAGAGGGGCGGTGCCGGCGGCCCCTGGGAGACCGAAAGGGGCGGAGCTTTGCGGCCCTGCAGGCCTTAGGGCCTGACTAGCGGATCCCATGCGCTTCTCGCTGAAGTGCTGCTGCTCGGTGTTTCTTGTTTTCTTTTTAAAGATGTATTATGTATTTGAAAGGCAGCGTTAGAGAGGAAGAGACAGAAATAGGTCTTCCTTCCGCAGGTTCACTCCCCAGATGGCCCCAATGGCCGGACCTGGGCCTGACCCATCAGGCCTCCCAGGTGGGTTCCAGGGCCACTTGTGCTGCTTTCCCAGGCACTTTCGCAAAGAGCTGGATCAGAAGTGGAGGGGCTGGGACTCCAACCGGAGCCTCTGTGTGATGCCAGTACCTCGGACAGCAGCTTTTAACCCACTGCACCACCGCGCTGGTCCTGTTTATTTTATTAGAAAGACAGAGAGAGAAAGAGATCTCCTTTCAGCTGGTTTACTCCTCAGATGCCCAAAAGCCAGGGCTGGGCCAGGCCAAGTGTAGGCAGCAGGACCCAAATGCCTGGGCCATCACCTGCGCAGGTGCACATTAGTGGGAAGCTGGAGCCAGGACTGAAACCCAGGCCCTGCGATGTGACTGCTAAATGCCTGCCTCCAAATGTTGGGTTTTTAATGACACATCTTTCTGACCTACATGAACACCTTCGCAAGTGGTGGCACCTTCAAGCCTACCCTTTTGCCCAGTGCTCATTTCCTGGCAGTCGCTTAGCTGTCCATAACAAGGCCCAGAGACTAGCTCATTCGTGAGGTTGTTGAGCTTGTAGGAGGTACTGGGATAACTGGCCCTAGCAGAGGATATGGGAAACAAGTCACAAGTCCTGTTCACAAATCCCAAACACTTTTTCACAACCCCCCCCCCAGCCCCTGACACACACACACACACACACACACACACACGTGGCTAATGAGTACAGACCATGCACCATCAGGCTGCACCCACCAGAAATGGCAAGTGCTGGTGAGGAGAAAGGTGCCTGGCCTTCCATGCTAGGCACCTGTGCTGCAACCCTGCAATGCTCTCAATACCATTTTAGAATTCTTTTTAAGAGCAGAAGTCTACTTCTAGAAACTAAACTGAAAGCTTACTGTTGGATAGAGACACATTTTTTTTCCAATAGTGGTGTAAAATGATCCTAACCTTTATAAATTCATGTACCCTCTTGTTGAGGTGGATTCGTTCTGAGAGGAGGAATGTAGTGGAGGCAAGAGGCGCAGAGTCACCACACAGATGCCAGGAGCCGGGTGAAAGCAGGTCAGAGGCAAGCAGCCTGCAGACTTGTTTATTTCAGTTGGTATAGCTGCTTATATATCCAAGGCAGCCAATCCAGTCAAGGGGCGGTCTATGCCCTAACCAATCAGATGATCCTAACCTTTATAAATTCATGTGCCCTCTGATATGGTTAGAACTGTACCAGGCTTTCTAATTTGTCAACCTCCTTTCTTTTTTTTTTTTGTTATATAGTTATTTTTTATTTAATAAATGTGAATTTACAAAGTGCAACTTTTGTATTGTTGTGGCTTCCCCCCCCAACCTCCCTCCCTCCCATGGCCCTCCCCTCTCCCACTCCCTCTCCCATCCCGCCCTTCATCACATTTCATTTTCATTTACCTTCATATACTGAAGATCAACTTAGTATATACTAAGCAAGGATTTCAACAGGCTGTACTCACACAACAGCACAAGGTATAGGGTATTGTTCGACTAGTAGTGTTGTCTTTAAGTTTCATAGTAGAACACATTAAGGACAGAGATCCTACGTGGGGAGCATGTACCCAGTGACTCCCTTTGTTGATTTAACAATTGGCACTCTTATTTATGACATCAGCAATCACCCGAGACTCTTGCTATGAGCTGTATAGGCTATGGAAGCCCCTTGAGTTCACCGACTCTGAACTTGTTTAGTCAAGGCCGTATCACAGTGGAGGTTCCTTCCTCTCTTCAGAGAAAGGCGCCTCTCTCCTTGATGGCCTGTTCCTTCTGCTGGGGTCTTGTTCACCAGGAACTTTCATTTAGATTGTTTTTTGCCACCGTGTCATGGCTTTCCATGCCTGTGAGACTCTCATGGACATTTTAGCCAGATCCGAATGTCCCAAGGGTTGATTCTGAGGCAGGAGTGCTGCCATTCTATGAGTCTGCTGTGTGTCCTGTTTCCCCCGCAGGATCATTCTCTCCCTTTTAATTCTATCCTTCATTAGTTGCTTACACTGGTCTTATTTGTGAAATCTCATCGACACATACCCTATCTTTTTGATCAGTTGTGTATTTATACTTATCACTTTACCAAGTGTGCTGGCATTGGTACCTGCCTCCTTGGTAAGATTGAGTTGAAATCCCCTGCCACATTTCTAGTTCCACCATTGAAGGTAAGTCCGAGTGAGCATGTGACAACCTATATATCTCCTCCCTCTCTTATTCCCACTCCTTTGTTTAACAGAGATCACTTTTCTGTTAATTTTATACGCCTAAGAATGATTGTGAATTGATTACAGAGTTCAACCAGTGGTCTTATGTAGAACAAACAGAGCAACAACAACAACAACAAAAATACTAAAAGGAATAAAATAGTAAGTTGTTCCTCAACAGTCTAGACAAGGGCTGATCATGTCATTGTCTCTCATAGTGTCCATTTCACTTCAATGGGTATCATTTTAGATGCTCGTTTAGTTGCCATCGATCAGGGAGAACATATGATATTTGTCCCTTTTGGACTGGCTTATTTCACTCAGCATGATGTTTTCCAGCTTCCTCCATTTTGTTGTAAATGCCCGGATTTCATTGTTTTTTACTGCTGTATAGTGTTCCATAGAGTACATATCCCATAGTTTCTTTATCCAGTCATCCATTGATGGACATTTAGGTTGATTCCATGTCTTAGCTATTGTGAATTGAACTGCAACAAATATTGAGGTGCAAATGGCTCTTTTTTTTTCTCCCCTTTAATTCCATTTTGGTAAATTCCAAGGAATGGGATGGCTGGGTCCTGTAGTGCTATATTCAGGTTTCTGAGGACTCTCCAAACTGTCTTCCATAGTGGCTTTACCAGTTTGCATTCCCACCAACAGTGGATTAGTGTCCCTTTTTCCCCACATCCTCGCCAGCATCTGTTGTTGGTTGATTTCTGTATGTAAGCCAATCTAACCGGAGTGAGGTGAAACCTCATTGTGGTTTTGATCTACATTTCCCTGATGGCTAGGGATCCTGAGCATTTTTTCATGTGTCTGTTGGCCATTTGGATTTCCTCTTTTGAAAAATGTCTGTTAACGTCCTTGGCCCATTTTTTTATTGGGTTGTTTGTTTTGATTTTGTGGTGTTTTTTGATCATTTTATAGATTCTAGTTGTTAATCCTTTATCTGTTGTGTAGTTTGCGAATAACGTCTCCCATTCTGTTGGTTGCCTCTTCACTTTTCCTGTTTCCTTTGCTGTAAAGAAACTCTTCAATTTGAGGTAATCCCATTTGTTTATTTTATCTTTGATTACCCGTGCCTCTGGGGTCTTCTCCAGGAATTCTTCGCCTGTTCCAATATCTTAAAGGGTTTCCCCTATGCTCTCAATTAGTTTCATGGTGTCGTGGCGCATCTCTAGTTCTTTGATCCATGTTGAGTGGATTTTTGTATAAGGTGTAAGGTAGGGGTCTTGCTTCATACTTCGACATGTGGACATCCAGTTTTCCCAGCACCATTTGTTGAAGAGGCTGTCCTTTTTCCAGGGGTTGGTTTTAGGTCCTTTGTCGAATATGAGTTGGTTATAGATGTTTGGATTGATCTCTGGTGTTTCTATTCTGTTCCATTGGTCTATCCATCTGTTTTTGTACCAGTACCAGGCTGTTTTGATTATAACTGCCCTGTAGTATGCCTTGAAGTCTGGAATTGTGATGCCTCCGGCCTTGTTTTTATTGTAAAGGATTGCTTTAGCTATTCTGGGTCTCCTGTTTCTCCGTATGAATTTCAGCATCGTTTTTTCTAGGTCTTTGAAGAATGCCATTGGTATTTTGATTGGTATTGCATTGAACTTGTAAATTGCTTTTGGGAGAATGGACATTTTGATGATATTGATTCTTCCAATCCATGAGCATGGCAGGTTTTTCCATTTTTTTGTGTCGTCTTCTATTTCTTTCTTTAGTGTTTTGTAATTTTCATCATAGAGGTCTTTGACATTCTTGGTTAAATTTATTCCAAGGTACTTTATTGTCTTTGTGGCTATCGTGAATGGAATTGATCTTAGAAGTTCTTCCTCAGCCCTGGCATTATCTGTGTATACAAAGGCTGTTGATTTCTGAGCGTTGACTTTGTATCCTGCTAC